AATATTATTATTTCGATTACGTTGTTTTCGTAATCGTTGCAAGCCATAATCGTAATTGCGAAAATTGCGAAAATACTATTAATTGAGCAGCTCTAACACACACACACACACACACACACACACACACACACACACACACACACACACACACACACACACACACACACACACACACACACACACACACACACTCTTCGTTGAAACGTTGAATCATTGGCAGTTTGTTCCAAGAGTACTTATTTTTATTTGTTGTCGGATATTTACCTATCTTACTGACTTGTAAAACATGGGCTTGACAGGTAAGAATGGCCATTAGCTTAGTTTAGCACAAAATAAGATAGGATGTCTGCTATTGTCCCCAAAGGGAAGTTTTGATCAAAAAAGCTACACACAGTTGTCCAATAAAAATAAAACATAGACTACACAAGATAAGATAACTGCATTTGCACAAATGTCAACTTTCTGGATACTATTCCCTTTAATTAACTTTTATTTACACTTTCAACAAAAATGGGAAAGGGTAGGTAGTTCCACGTCTGTCTTTTTATAGTTTCACTTAACACTCACTGCTCACTGCAATGTTTCACTCAGTTCTTTCTCCTCTGAGACATCAAGGTTGTGTTGGCGCTATATTGACGTCAGCCAGATTCGTCATAGTAACAGAGTATCTGTGTGAGGATGTATCTGAACTCAAGGAAGCCTTTTTTTTGTATATCTGTCATACAAACAGACTGCAGTTACAACCCCCCAAACAAAGCTCCAATGCCAGCAGGAACATGAGTCCTCCTAAACCGTCCATTATCTGCAAGCATGCATAATGCTAACCATGGTGCTTTTATAACTAACCTCAGCGCATACAATACCTATTTGAATTATGATGATCCACATCTATTCTGCCTTTTTTCACGCTGGTGCAGAGGACATGTCTTCACAGCACTTTGAACTCAGTCAGTGCTACCTTCCCCAGGGCTAAATGTGACCAGAATAGAGATATTACATGCTAGAGCTCTACGAAGTAATGGACTGTGTGTTTATATAAAGAGGATTTAAAGGCCTAAGGAGGGACTGTCTGTTAGTGGAGGTATTAGTATGCTGCTCTCTGCAGGGAAGAGACAGTTATCCAGGGCTACTACAGAGCAGAACGGAAGCAATTTTCCTCAGTTGTAAACTTGCAACTACCTTCAAGAAGGCCGACCATAGCTGGATTTCTGGGTGATTTATGAATGTTTTCTTTCTTGGCTAAAACAATTGCTTTTTAGGATATAGTTGCAGTAAAATGTTTGATATGCCGCTGCCTTTGATTGTATTGCTGCTGCTGCTCTCAGTTTACTGTAAAGCAGCCGTTGTGTGAAAAGCTTTGAAGTCTTTTCATACCACACAAACGTTTCCAGGGACCTTGGGTCAGATTCATTCAAAAGCATGACAGAGCTGTCCGGCGCAAGCCCACACATTGTTGTAGATGGGGACTTAGATATATGCAGCAAAAGCTTTTGAAGGATTTGCCTTTTTCATTGTATATCTGTTTTATTTGGAAGCATACAGTTCAAATGAGAAATACAGAGACCGTGGAGTGGCATGAAGTGCATAATGATACTCATATTGTGTTTGATACTGTTAACCAAGCAATCAAAGCATCATCTGGGCTGTATCTGATTATGCAATTGCTTGAAATTAGAGCATCTGGGAGTGAGAGATAATGTTTATACTAAATATTATCTCATTGTTGTGTGCACATAGTTATTGATCATTCTGTTGATTAATTGAACATGCTGAACATAATTGATCACATACTTTAAATGAATTTTCATTATGCTATTGACTATTTTAACTAATATTGACTCCATATCTTTTATTCTAATGATGTCTAATTCACCTGCCACGCACACATTGTGTATATTACAAAGACATACTTATACTAATACTTATTTAGAGTGGGAAAGTAAAGTAATGTAATTTGAATTGTTTTCTCAATGGAATACAATATAGACATTTTTAAATGTCTTTCTGTGTTTGAGATTCACAAACAATAGGGGGCTGCAAATAACTGACATAATAATTTAATTCAAATATTGAATACTTTATTTTTTTAATTAATAGATCAATTTTTTATTCTGTAAGTTTTCTCTCTCCCTCTTAGACGAGGACGTGGTGTCTATGGCGGACTCCACCATCACCGTGGACGACATCGAGGGGGAGCTGTTTAAGATTGACAGGATCAGAGATGTGCTGGTCAGGAGGGAGTCAGAGCTCAGATACATGTGAGTGGCCTATCAACACGCACACTTGGATTTCATTTGTTTATTTCATCTGCCATCTGCAGCCAGTGTGATTATTTCCGGAGACAAACTGGTTCAATAATAGCAACCCAGAATTCACATTATATTTGAATGGTGTATTATTTAGTTTGTTGCTGGTACTGAGTGCCAGTGCACAAAAATGTGTGACTAGAAGCTTCTGTACCTGTTCTCCTATACAGTAAGTATGTTCCCATACAACTAAACTGCATTGTGAATTATCCTTCGTAATTTATTTTCTTCTACATTAGATTGGTTTTCGATCTATCCCAAATACATTTCTTATCAAACTCAAAGTCTGCATAGAGAGGATGTCCGGGTGGATGGGATGGTTACACTTCTTTCATACAGGCGACTGGTGTTTGTGATCTGCATAAAAACATAAAGTCATTGTTGACTTTTAATTTGTCCGTAATTTAAATTCTTGAACAAATGTACTTCTTTAAGCCAAACCCATCAATTTTTGACAAAATCTAACCCAAATATTGTTGTTGCATGAACATAACCAAGAACTTTTGTTGAGTGTCTCTTTTGTGTATATTTACAAAGTTAAGAAAATGTGTTTTCCCTTAAAACGCAAATGTGTTAGAATGCAATTAAGTGGCAGTGGAGGGAGGTTGTAGGGGAAAGTCATTTTGTAAGACACAAATGTGATCTTTACGTAACCAAAAACAAATCTTAACCTCAGTGTTACACATGTTAGTACTGCACACATAACACATGTGGGACAACATTCTGTGTATTGCTGTGAGAAACCTGAATAAATACATTATTTAGTGCATTAATCAGTCATTAAAGTGCACTGTCATGCCAAAACAACAATAGTACACACAAGCCCCAAACTGGAAAATCCATCTTCAAGCTTACCCAGTCAAAAGCAGTTCAAATCATTTAAGCAATGTTTTCCATTCAAGAGCTCCCCCTGGTATCAGAAACACATCTCGGAGCAGCTTTGCCCTCTATCACACCTCGTGCTGGCCCTCATTATAATATCAATGGCTTTACCTTGGCTTCCACTAAGCAGGCTAATGCATGGATATTTATTCATCCACTCCCCTGAAAGATGGTGCTCAGACAGCGGGGGGGGAATATGATGAGTGGCATGTGTGGGATGGCAAGCAAGAGTCAGGCAGAAAGGATGGGTAAATGAGAGACTGGAGGTGGAGGGGTAGGAGAGGGGAAGTCACGATCTGAAGCAGATTTCACCAAGTTTTTGACAAACAAACAAATAAATGGTGTGTTTTCTTTTGGTTAAAGCACATCATTCCAGACCTCATCAGGGCCATTTCTCCACATACATGTCTTTAGAGAGCCTCCTATATGACAGGTAGATGAGGAATGGTGACGTGGCTCTCCCTGCTGACGATGAATGGGTGTAATGTGTGTAAGTGTGTGTCCGACCCAGAGAGTGTCTGTTTGTGTGTTCTCCTAAAAAAGAGGTATTTGCAGTGATGCTGGGTCACGTGAGTGCTCTCTGCCTCTGTGATCTCCTACCCCACCTCAGTGTCAGTCATGATCCACTGAGTTTGGAGAGCCATTGAAAGAGAAAGCGTGTGATACAGACAGAGGCTGAGTGAAAGCTCTCTGGCTCAGAGACGCCACAGGGATTTCTCTTCAGAAAAGATTGTGTCATCTCTTTTGTGAATTAAAACATCAATATGAATCTTTCTGTGTTTGAATTTCATTTCCCCATATAGTTTCAAATCCTTTCTACCCTTTAAAGCAGAATGTGATGTGCGGCACTTCCAGTACTTTCATATGTGTGTGTGTGTTTCTTTTGTCCCTGTGCAGGATGGATGACATTCAGCTGTGCAAGGAGATCACTCGTCTGAAGAAGGATCTGCAGAAATTAGTGTCCATACCAGGTAGGCTGATTGAGAATAAAAGCAGAATGTCTCAAATAAATCCAATTCCTACAAACATCTTTATACAGTACCTGTGGTTAAACCCTTGTTATATTCATAGTTAAGTGATTCATTTGGGACAAACACTCGATGTCTTTTGCTGCAGATAATGACAAGTCCAACGAGGACCGGCAGAAGGAGGAGGAACTCCTGCAGCAGATCCACAAGCTGGTTGAGACCAGAGACTTCCTGGTGGACGATGTGGAGTTTGAAAGACTCAGGTGTGCTTCGTTATGGTTTCATTACAGCTTGGTAGGAGTCCTTTGGTCGCCTGTCACCATCGGCTGTGAATGAATAATTAAAAAATCCTATTGAACATAAAACGCCACTAGTTAGAGATGCAGTGCACACATACAGTAGGTCTGTAGCCATTGATCTATCTTATAGCCTTTGGGAAACAAGTATCTTTTATCCAGAGGAACTCTTTGATATCACCAATGAGCATCGTTTATTCACATTCTTTTAATGACTGATAGGGCTCCCATTTGAACATCGCAACAAGTCACTAGTTCTGGTAAAGTGTTTTCTCAATCCGGTTTCATCCGTATAGACGCTTCCACAAAGCCACCCCATTGCGCTCTATTAAAACACTGGAACATTTCCTCAGGCACAGTGAGATGATGCACCGCAGAGCACTCAGCGGAGAGCCATTTCAATTAAAGATGTGTCAGAAATGATCAGAGAGTACTGCAACAGGAGCTGCCATTGGTTTATAAAAAACATATACACATCTATTTCATACTTTTTCAGGACTGCTAATGGGTGTTGATGCTTTGTTCATGCAGGAGTTGAGGAAAGGTTGTCATAGTGCTGTCCAAACCTTACTGATCCATTCTGAAACTCTTAGTCCTGCACCACATATACAGTTATGCAAAACACTACAGGACCCTTCATACAATGGGATTGGAAACCCTCAAAGGAAGGTACAATGTCTTGAACATTACATTATCTTAATGCAGAGATGTCAAACATAAGTGAAATATAAAATAATCACAAGTTTAAATTAGCCTCTCTGCAGTTGAATCTGTATTTCGATGAGACCGCTCTTTCAGTTTTAGACGTTCAGTTTTTTAATGTTTTGTCCTGCAGTCATTAAGAGCTTAAAACGCTGTATTTATTTTTACTCCACTTACTTGTTGATCTTGATGCAGCATATACACTCTCACAGGTTATTTTATCCATCACTCAACTTGCAACTTAATGCGACTTGACAATGTTCAACCAGTATCTCAGGTCCAATTCTTATTCAGCGTTAGGCATCAATAGTTTGTGTGAGCAACACTTTGTGTTGGCAGCTGACAGCATGCAACAGTGGGTTAATGGAACAACAGTGGGTTAATGGATCGCAGAGAGATGTGACGATGCTCAAGGCCATGCTGATAAATATAGAGATCTTTCTTTTGACATTTCTCTCTTTTTTATCCTCACTGTCCTTCACAAGAAAATTACATCTGTAGTTTTTACGTTTGGTTTTATTTTCAAAGCAGGACAGACCTGCTGTAATTTGCACACTTTGTGTTACAGAACATACTCATTCAATATGTAATACATACATTTAGTAGTACTGCAAATATTAAATTACCCAAATATGCAGAGCATGTCTAACTCATCTAAATATATCTGTGTAGACAGAGAGGGGCTGCCAGATTTATTGAATAATCAGTAGAACCTCTCAGAGTAAATGTAATCCTTTCTAACAGCCAGAGATACTGTAATTATTTGATGCAGTGAGAAAGCTTTTCAACTCTCCCCGTTGGTAAAATCAACATTTAAATGTTACCTGTACTGCGGAATAGATGGCCAGCAAGTGTAAAGTAGACACGATATTTTACCTTTATATCTGTGTTACATGGAATTCCTGTCAGCCATTCCTAGCCAACTTCTCTTTTGTAATCTGAAGGTGATGGAAGACTTTAAATTGTAGTCCAAATGCTTTATGTATTCATGTATTTCTGTATATTTTACATCAATCCTTTGCTCAATCTCTACAGGGAAAAAGAAGAAGACAAAGAAATGGCAGATTTTCTGAATTCCAAATTTCCCAAAAATATGAAGAAGAAAGGTATGCTTAGGTTCCACAGTTGTTGTTCTGTGCTCCACTTTTTAAAATCATTTATCCGCTGGACATGTTTGTTGATTAGCAGTTAGTAGAGTTAGACCGTAAAATTGTGGTCGAAGTAATCAAGCAATTTACTTAAGTAAAAGTAATACCACAAGTAATACCAATGCATTGAACTTTATTTAAGATACAAATTATAAGCATGACAATATACTTAAAGTACCTAAAGTAAACATACTCATTAGGAAGAATGATTCACTTCATAACATAGGCTGTCAAATATGTACCTGATGAAAAAAAAGTACAACTATGTTGTTCCAAAAATAAAGTTATCTAATATCTCTCCATGTACACCACAACATGTATTGGGAAACTATTGCCAAATGTTCTCAGAGTGACTTCTCTGGGCTTCAGGTGTTCCACCCAGACGAGCGCCGTCCAGAGCTCAGCAGACCTCTTCTCCCTTCGCCAAGACGGGCCTCACCCTGCTGAAGGAGTGCTGCGGCTTCACATGCTCCATCATGTAGCCCGGGGTTGACATAGGGGCCACAAATCAAAATTGGCCACTCCACAAGAGTCAACATTTCAAATTTCAGCTTTTCAGTCCAAGAAAGACTTTGAAGCATGGATGGAGCAGTACAGCGTAGGTTAAGAATTCCCCAGAGGCAGAGCTAAGGATGTTGCAAGGATCATGTGGTTTGTTTTCCATACCCAAGTTTGTCTCGTTATATAGATAAGTTTGCCCATACATAAGATTGTATATCTGGTTTTGTTTCCATCCTGTCTACGCTCTCTAATCCCACTTTTGTTAAATTTTCCCGCCAAATTAACAGCAGTCAAATGCAATTGTGGTATTTATTTCTCTTTTTAAGCTGAGAAGACAGGGTTTTAAAGGATAGAAACAGCATAGCACAAGTTAGGTATGTATTGTGGAAAGACTAATCGTAATAAATCACTATAACATGCCTACGACTTCTATATTCAAAGACCTCACTGAGCTATGGCAGCAGTCATTCCCTCATTAAATGTTGTTTTGCAGGCCAGTCTAGATACAAGGCTGGAAATATAAAAACAGCATTCAGGAGATAACACTAATGAAACTGACATTAAACAGGAGCTCTGTTAGGTTGAAGTTGCTCGTTATTTGAGTTCCGATTTAAATGGGTACGACCTTTTTCAAATTGGTGGTTTGTGAAGAATCAATGGATATCTCATTACGCTCAATTTCCCTTTATTGATAGTTCACCAATGTTCAGTACTTTTTCAAATGATGCAAAGTAAAATTGAAGGACATTATACAATATAACTTTTTTCAGTCAGTATTTTATTCTGGTGAGCATTCAACAGCAATAACCATTTGACAGCATAAGGGTTATTTAAGGATATAGAATACACAGGGGTCCATGTCCAGTCACTTTTTAATTATAGCGTATCACCCACATGCACGTTTCCACAAATGATATGGGTTGGCACGCAGCTACATAACCCTATACCTACTATATATGTATACTGTATAAACACCTGTCCAGTGATGAATACAGTCATCATATGCAACACTGAAGCACACTTGACAGTGTTTTGAGTGGATCATTTATGTTTCATACTAATTTACGGTCAAGGGCAAACCTCTTCCGTCCATTTCTACTATGCTATTATGTTATGTATTTGTTTCCATCACATATTTATCAGTTTCTACGGAATAAATATTTACCTACAGAAGGTGTATGAAAGCCTCTTGAATGGCACTTGCATGCATTACGTTGGACACAGGGATGCAGTGGCCAATCAAACTACGGGGCACATCTGTGTTGCCAAGAAGAATAGTTTCCATAGCAACCTTCTATTCCCCATTTATTTACCATAAGACAATGAGGAAGGTTGGATGGATCCGAGAGATAAGAACTCACATATGTGACAAAAACAAATACCTGAGTGCCATCATTGCTACTTGATGAATGGTAGACAAGACAGCTTTTTTAAATTTGAATGATTTTCATGTTTTGCATTCACTCTTGGAGACAACACAGACCACTTGGTATTCCACAAAAATGTTTCCAAAAATGAGTCTCTGAATCCCTGTCAGACTCTTTGGGATAAAGTAACAATGGTTTGGAAATTAGAGGAACACAAGGTTGCTTCTCCTTTTTGGATACACAATTATTATGTTTACAGTGGAAGCTAATTAAAAGCACCTTTAATCATGCTATTCATTATAGATTGTACAGTTTGCTTTTTATTCCTGTTTGACGAAGCATTGTCCTTAATGGTTTATTTCCAAACAGTCCTTGGGATGGATACTGTCAGGGTGCGTGGAAAAGGTAGGACCCAAATGCAGAATTTAACAAAAAGCAAGCTTTATTAAATCATAAAAGCTGTGGCAAAAAGGCAGTATCCAAAAAAACAAACGAGCAGCACAAGAAACACGGACCGTGGAAGCATGGAGAGGAAACAATGAACCGACATGGAACACAGGGGAAGACTAGACTAAATACACAGAAGGGTAATCACAGGACAAGAAACAGCTGGGCAGGGGAGGGAGAAACACAAGAGCAACAGGTGCACACAATGAGACAATCAGACACACCAGGGAAACTAACGACTGGGAGGAGGACCAGACAAAAACACAAGGAGGAAGACAAAACACCAATGAACATATTTACAAAACCCATAACCAGACAGACAACACTAAAACCGTGACATAAACCTAGGAGCGTGACAGAACCCCCCCCTCAAGGGACGGATACCAAACGTCCCAAAAAACAAAGTCCAGCAGGGTGGGTGGAGGGGGTCTGGAGGACGGGTGGTCCTGCAATGTGGGGTAATCGCAAAAAAAAAAAAAAAAAAAAAAAAAAAAAAAAAAAAAAAAAAAAAAAAAAAAAAAAAAAAAAAAAAAAAAAAAAAAAAAACAAAAAAAAAAAAAAAAAAAAAAAAAAAAAAATAAAACCAGCCAAGAGTAGAGGAGAGCTCAAAGGAGAGTTCAGGGGAGAGCTTAGTGCGAGAGGTTCAAGGGAGAGTTCAAGGGGAGAGCTCCAGAGGAGGAGCTCAAGAGAGAGTTTCAGTTGAGAGCTCAGGGAAAAAGTTCCCTGTGAAGAGTTCCAGGGGAGAGCTCAAGGGAGAGTTCAAGGCGACCCCATGACGGTTGAGTACATGACCAGGCAACCCCTAGGGCGGCTGACGAGAGGACGGCCCCCAGGACGGTTTGGGACACCAGGACCGGCGACCCCAGGGCGGCCTGATGGAAGAAGACGGCCCCCGGACGGTTGGGATACAGGACAACGGACAACCTCCAGGGCGTCTGATGAGAAGACGGCCCCCAGGAAGCGGTTTGATACCAGGACAAGGCCGAGGCCTAGGACAGCCAGCTGTGAGGCCGGAGGACTGGCCGGAGGCTCCGACAGGCCAAAGAAGCGGGGAGCTTGGGCCGGGGGACCTCAAGCGGGCGACACCGGGAAGCGGGGTGGAACCTGAGACGGGAACGGGGGCCCGGCAGCGGGCTCTGGGTAGGTACCAGAGACGGAACGGGGCCCGGCAGGCGGGCTCAAGGGGTGGAACCTGAGAACAGACGGGGGCCGGCCAGGTGGGCTCAAGGGGTGGAACCTGAGACGGAACCGGGGCCCGGCAGGCGGCCTGGGGTAAGGCTAGCCAGAAAAGAACTTGGAACGGGGGCCCGGCAAAGGCGGCTCAAGGTGGAACCGTGAGACAGAACGGGGGCCCGGCAGGTGGGCTTCAAGGGGTGGGACTGAGAACGGAACGGGGGCGGAAGGCGGGCTCCTGGGGGAGGAACCAGAGACGGAACGGGGGCCGGNAGTTCAAATACAGATTATTTCAGTTCATCGAAATGCTGCACCTTCATGTTTATTTTATTATATTTCGTATTTATTTGAGTGAATACATTATTCACAGTTTAATAATAATAATAAAAATATATATATATACATTTTATGTTTTTTGATAATTTTTTCTGCTGTACCGAAAACTTACCGAACAGTGACCTAAAAACCGAGGTACGTACAGAACCGAAATGTTTGTGAACCGTTACACCCCTACAAGCTAATGATTGGATTTCATGATTCTTGATGTTTTTTTCTGTCTTAACATCATTATTTTATTCATTATTCAAATTCAAAACTTATTTGACAGCTAGCCCAACTACTCTACTTACGCAAATATGTCTGCGCTGTAAGATCTCCCTTTAAGCATCACATTTCTCTGAAAACACATGATTTGAGCTAATATGTCCTCACCTTAAGACATTGGGTTCAGGCATTCCTGGATCTGCTCCTCGTTTAAAACCTGTGAATCAAAAACATACAGATGGTTTTAAGTATGGTTTGATTTTTCGAAAATAAATATGATGTAGATGTTTGAGTCTTAAATGTCCATTAAGACTTTCTTTAAGCATCTAGTTAAAAAAACTGGCATATAGTCAATTATAATGGCCCACAGCTTGGAATAAAATACATCAAATTGTGCCTATGCACCTTAAAATGACAGCAAGTTTCACTGGGTCATTACAACACACTCCAGTTTCATTTCACAGCATCCTTGCAGCAAAAAGTGTACAACCCCCACATCTGACTCACAATATCTGCCTCACACACACAGAAGGGTGAGTGTGTATTGTTTTTAGCTTCATTCACAGAAAGGAAATAACTGTGATGCAACTGTTTCTTGGGAAAAATGTGTTTCTTAGAAAACTGAATCAAGCCTCTTCTTGGATCTTACATAACTATCACCACAGTGGATTATTATCATTGGAGCGCACTTCAGAAAAACTGAAACCAAGAGAGTTAGGCATTTCTATTTGACAAATGAATCAACTTTTATTGTTGATTAATAATCAATTAAGCAGTTTTTACACTAAGATCATGGTTGCCTGGATATGAAACGTTATGACTGATGTTGGTTGCACATCAGCAATAAATGACAGATAATGCTGCCCTTAATATATAAATGCGTTGCAAGAGAGAAAAAAAGATTAAGAAATAAAGGAAACGAGGGGAGAAGATGTCATCAGCTGGTGTTTCCAAAATGCTGAAGTCAGAGAAGATTCATTCAGAGGGCAACTCCACTAGCAGTGAGGTCACACATGCCAAACTCTCCACTTCCCCATCTTGACTCCCAAAAGCACAACCAGGTATTTCAGTGCACCAGGCATTTAAGACCAAATCATCAGGAATTCCTGGTTTAACACTCTTGTAAGTACAAGGACTTTGCACAACTACTTCAAGGTCACACGTTTTTGATAATTGTGTTCCCTAACAACATTGCACAGTCATCATAGAGAAGACCATTTAAAAATAAATCGCTCCCTCACTCACATACTAAGTCCTACATACAATCACCACCACAGCTTGCTTTTAACATGTTTACAGCTTGCATTCATGAGATGCTTAGATTCCCTGCTTTGATTCAGCCGTTTTCCCATGCCATCATGACTTTCACACACACCATGACACTCATCAATATGCAATACATCACATGCATTGTATAACTCGTCCAGAGGGGGCTACTCAGTCTACCAACTACTTCAAAGACATCAAACCTTTAAAGTTAGATGAATGATACAGAACCAAATCATGTATTACTAGTCAAACCAAATTGGGATTTGAACCCTGTGGTCTTATGTTTTATACTTATATACTTCCTATACAATGGTGTCAATCATTAGCTTAATTGGTTTAAACGTATAACTACTAACGCAACCTGGGGAGAAAAACACTAATCTAGCTCTTGTTGAGGGCTAGTGTGCTAAGCTAACCGGCTAATGTTAGCGAGGCACATCTCCTCATCCAGCCGTCTCCCCCCTGCTCCCGTTGGGATACTGACCGAGGTACAACACAGTTGGGATGAAACCCCATCGGATGACGAACTGGCCGCACTGGAACAGCTGCTGCAGCCGCTGTTTGGACTCTTTGCTCAGTTTAGCCATGTGTTTATCCTGAACAGCGAGGATGCTGCAACCACCAAGGACAAGGAAGCGGAAGTGACATTAGGACCCGGCTGATAACTGAACATCTGTCATTGGTCGCCATCTAGTGGACACACATGTAACTGCGACTGCCATGAGGAGTGCTTTTATAGGTTGTTTATAACCTTTGTGACCTCGCTCGCTCGCAGACTGATTTTGTGAGTGAACATGATTTATATTTTGAGGAGGAAGTGAAATAAAATATGATAGCAACTCAAAGATATTGTTAAAGACACGTGCAACTTTCAGAGCAAGTGAAAGTACATGTTATAAATGTTGTCATCCACAGAATACAAAGCTACCAAGCAAAACAACAAATTGTGAAACACGACACAGAAATTAATATATATATAAATGTAAGTGAAAATAAATGAAGAAATACATACAAAGATATAATATGTGTGTTCTGTTTTATTCTCAACTTTAATTTTTTTATGCATGCATTCATTTATTTATTTCCATATTTATTTATTTTTTTCTTGTGTTTACTTATTCCTGAATTTATTTCCACATTTATTTAGTTCAGTTTCTTTTCACATTTATTTATTCTTGTATTTATTTATTTGCTACTTATGTCATGTTCTGTCCTCCATATCTGTGTGCTCGTTGTGTGCATAAAAGAACAAATTCACTAAAAATCACATAAAAGCAAGACGCATAGTTGGGCATTCATTGTTCTAAAAACACATTGGCGGTCCAGAGATCTATGCATCGGTTTGTCATGCAGGTGCTCGAGGTTCATCACCCGGGGGAGGGACATCTTCTGTCTCCTGCTATGCTGATGTTGAATCTGGAGAAATTGTCCTCACCACTTTTTCTAACAAAGTGACGCCCATGGTGTTGTGATGTATGTTTCCGTGTACATCCCATGTATTGCATGATTTTGTTTTGGGAAATAAACGTTGCATTTATGCCTCTGCTAGCCCAATATAACCAGCCAGGCCAGGACACACTTTAATTAAAGAATTCCCTTAACCTAATGTGTATGAGTTTACTATGAATTTAGTTTAGTCATTTCCTGTGTTTTGTTGAAATGAATAATTTATGTTTACACAATAAAAAATAAAGCCAACTTATTCTGTATATGAAGAGACATTATTACATCATTGCTTGTCTCTCTCTCTCTCTCTCTGAAATATGTGGTTTGAAAGGACAAAATATACACACTACCAACTTAGTCCCCCCCCCTGCAATCCAATAAATAAATAAACCTTAAATATATTCCCTAATAATTAATAAGTGCAACACGATTAATGATTGTGCATTTATAATGTACGTAATTATAGTGGAATGTTGCCACACATGTATCCCTGATTTTGATAAATCAATAAGCCTCTTACACCATTTTAATTACACAATTCATTTAAGAGTAATCACTGAGCACGCAAGTGAAATATAGAAACACTTTATTCCCAGAAGATGTAGCAGTGAGTTATATTCAGACATAGAAAGGCCAATTTTAACCAACTTTAGTACAACAGTATGATGTACAACAAGAGCTCACCCATTCACATCCTGTAAACCCACACACAGAAACAATATGATTGTTAATGTCCCCCCCAAAGCTATGGACACTCGACAGCTCTAGTACACAGACGACAGAACACATATTGCTTGAGGGAGGCGCAGCTCAATTTAGGACATCAAAGGTAAGAAATGGGTGGAGTTTAATTACATTATTGGTACAAGATATCACCATTTCTTGTGAAGGGATGATGATGGAGGGACACAGGAAACACATCACCAAATAACTACTAACAGCTGGAATGGTGGGTGGATCAGAGAAGAGGAAAGATGCCTTGTTGCCCACACACACCTTCCCACTGCAGAACACACAGGAGGAGGTTCAGTTACAGTTTTGGTCGAGTTTTAAACATCTTGAGTCAGGGGCATCGGATTCTTTTATCTTTGTGCATGTAGGTGGACTTCATGTATATACGGAGCAACAAAGCACATCTCTCTCACAGGAAAATACCACAGTTGAGAGTCAAACGTCTTTTGTTCATCATAAGAAAATACCAAAGTTGAAAACACAACTTGTTTGTTCTTTCAAGTGCAAATTTCAATACTTCACAAATCATACACCAAACCATCTTCGTCATTTGTTAGAAGTTGGATTTTTCTGCCAACAGCAATTCAAGAAGGTGCTAGAGCAGTGGGAGGGAAGGACACAAATATTGCTTCTCCATTATGATGACAATACTGTGCGATTGTAAACATTAAAACCCAAATCGTATCATACTGTTTGATTATTTAGTGGTCATTTCTTCTGACATTTTAAGGAAGAATACAGATTATCTTTAAAAAGGAACACTGCTGTAGATGTTTACAAAAGAAGTGTGAATGAAGAGAGGTTGTGTAATTGTCCCAAAAGATGAAAAACACAGATTTGTATTGCTATGGAAAAGGATCTGTCATTTGAAAAAAATAGAAAAATGTGTTTCATCTCGGAGAATCATACCTTGTTAATTTGATCAATCAGCCGCCTTTATTCTAAAAATTGAACATACACACATAATCACACATACTTAACATTTGCCCTCCGACCAACCTGGGCAATATCAGGATGGACGTATGGAAAAAGCCATGCAGGGCAACAAATGCCGATTAAAATATTTTCCAGATACTTTTCCGCAGTTTTTAGTTGTGTATATGTTTTAAGTGCACCCAGACAGACTGCTCTGGGACGGAGTGCGGTTTTGTCCTGGCATGATTTCACAGCAACAATGCACTGCTAAAAATCAGTCAAGCAGGAAGTGATATCTCTGACCCCCCGCCTTCATCAGGAGAGGAGCACGGCGGCAGGCTGCTCGGGAGCACAGAGAACCAAAGACATCAAAATGGAGTGACAAGACACCCAGTGGGAGTGTTTGTATGCTGTTGTGGTCTAATGGGAGTTGGCATGGCTTGGAGTTCCTGTTCACAGGTACAGGGTCACCGGATTGAGAGGGATCAGGTAGCCAGGAGTCACAAAGGGCTCATAGGTCAGAGCCAAGGTGCACGCTGATGCTAGGAGAGCGCTGCGTGTGGTTTGGCGCCGGACTCAAGTACCCCAGCCCATCCTCCTGCAGGCTGCATGAATAGCGGCCGACTTCAGAGGCGGTGTGGTTGCTGGCGGGGGTGGCGTTGCAGACGGCCACCTGCTCGAAGGAGCGGGAGAAAACGGCGCTGGCAGTGCGGGTCAGGTTGGTGAGAGCTCCTGCCTTGGGCACCGATTGGCTGGAAGTGAGCGTCAGTCGCTTGAAGGACAGCTCTGCATTCTCGCTGTTGGCCCGGCACGTTGTCAGAGAGCCCGCCTCCTTGTCCTTGCTGTTACGCCCACCCAGCCGACACTTCTTCATGGCCTTGGCTCCCAGATTCAACGTGGTGACACTGTTGCTAATAGTGATGGTGGGGGGGGTCATGTCCGGCCCCATCCCGCCTGGCCACACCCCTTCATCCACCTCAGAAATATCCATCAGCTCATCCGGGGAACCCAGATCCACTGCGTCTGTGAGACAGAAATGAACTGAAATGAAAACAGGAGCACGAAGAGGAAAAAACAACCATCTCATCTGTCATCCAGCCCAGCTGATCCAATCAAATCATTGAAATTAACACGGTTTATAAAGAAAATGAATTGAATGCTTTGCTTGTGGGGCAAAGTATGTAGGGCTGCATGACAGAGGAGCTCCATCACTGTCCAGCAGGTGGCGCCTTCACACTGTGACAGTTAACAGGGAAACCTCGCCACCAGGAAATGCAATGTCAGTATTTCAGCCCAGCACACAGGTTAGTTCAACCAGAAGCTGTGAGCGGTTTATTGGCAGAGGAGTGCATGTTTTGTCCCAAAGACAGGAGAGGTCAGAGTCTGAGAGCACACGCCTAGGAAAGACCACAAGGGGAGAGTAGAGGAAGGAAAACAAAGACACAAATCCAAAACCCTAAGTGCAAGTGTTCAGTTGAGAAACTTGCTTCACTTCAAAAACACTAGCCAATAGCTGTGCTGTATATGCATCAAGAATGGCACTAACAAACATGTGGGTGGCCAACCACATGCATATGCAGAGATACACACCTTTAATCTGATGCTGTCACTGCTAGTCATTAGACAGATAGGCAGGTCCTGTCAAAGTCCTCCATGGTCAGATTTGGGCCCAAGCAGTCAGAAGTCATCACACTCACAGAAGATTTACAATTTCTTAGCAGTTTTGCTTCAAATAACACAAGTCCTGCGTATCTTTCCTAAGTTCCAAGCTACCACTCAGAAGGAAGTTATCTGTGTCCAAGTGCAACCCAGGAGGATTGTGTTGAGGCGTGCCAACGTGTGCAATATGAGTACAATCTGCTGCTGCAGGCAGAGGTAACAGAGCTAATACCTGGGCTTTGTGATTGAAGGTCATCAGTCCATTTTTTATGTATGTCCAGAATTCAGCCATTTTATATTTACAGGAAGTGTGTGTGTGTATGTATTGACAAATGTTGAATAAACTACTTTAAAGACTGGTGTTCATGCTGTGTTTAACCAACGTTCTGCTTAAAATAGGATCCAATTCATTTAGCTCAACATAAAAACATCCCCCATTGTGAAATTCAGCCAAGCACATTTCAGTAGTATGCATTCATATTAGGTTAAAGATCTGTCATTCAATTAGGTAATTAATTAGATTTAAGAAAATCTCAGCAGGGGATCTTGGTGAGGAAGCTTTAGCCACAAAGGAGAGAGTGAATGAATGAGTGACATTGGAAGGACAGATGAGAGGAATAGTGCTATTAGGAGAAGGGAGGATGGTAGAACCCAGCGCAAAAAAGGTAAAAAGGGAAGTCATTGTGCAGATTTTTCAGACCATGCCGCCACACATGGTTACCTAGGTTACCCCGGGAGCGGGGCGTGGGGAAGGAGGGGCAGGACCTTAGTACTGGCTCCTCCCTGTGGAGGCCGTCCCAGAACCCTCATTCTCCACCATCCGCCTCACAGACTTCTGCCTCCTGACCTCCTGACCCCGCAGATCAAGGCTGACCTCAGAGGCTCCGCCCACCGGGTCGCAGTCGGGCGGGGCACGGCCGTCAAGGCGCGGTCGCATGGATTCTCCGTTGGGCAATCGCTCGCCGCTCGTACCTGTTACACTGATATCGGGGATGGCTACGCCCCCCACTGCAGCATCACTTTCTACACTCGCCTCCTGGGACTCTGGTGGGAGGAGTATGGGGGGGTAGCACGACAACACGTAACAAAACGAACATATATAAACACAAACAGATGGGACAGAAAGACACGCGTCATGCACACGTACATGAAACACAGAAAGACAGCGGTCATGACCACAGTCACACAACACAAAGGTAATAAATGTAATGGCAGAAAAATAAAAAGACAGAAATTATAGTGATCAGAACATAACACATGGTAAAAGTACATGCAATATGGAGATGAATATGAACACAGCTCTTGAATGGAATTGAATTTCATCGTGAGTCCCCGCTCCGCCCTTACACATTAATTAATATTTAATGGTGTTTTCCCTCCATCGTCTGCTCATAACAAAAGATTTACGCATAAACAGGCAGCTCTGACACGAGCAGCAAAGGAAAAGGGGTGTTGATGAAACCTACTCATTAAACTGGCTGAAGGCTGTAATTTACCTGCCTTATCTCTACCCTGGGAAAAGAGAGAAGCCCTCTCAAAATCACACTCAAAACACAATCTTTGCCACATAGCTGAAACTACCCATATATAATCGTTTTTGTTGTGATTAAGTCAGAGCAATGGAATATTAAATAACCATTGCTGCTCAGTACATCTTAGCCTGGCCCTAGGGGCTGCTCGATTATGGCAAAAATCATAATCTCGATTATTTGGGTCAATAATTGATATCACGATTATTAAAAACGATTATCCATTCACTTTGAAAACATCAATTTATTGGAGAAAAGAAAATGTGAACAGTATGTTTGTAACAGTTGATTACCCTGAACTCTAAGTATAATTCAACTGAAAAACCAATACAAAAAATTAATAAAAAAAT